TCCTGCTTACACTGTGCTTGGGCCATATTTTTAAGTGTTAGACTGATTGGTAAATAATTTTTACAGCCTTTTATGTATATTTCTTTCTACTTTACAGAGAAAATCTATTTCTGCCCCTTGCTGATGTGGCCAGACTTGGGACCCACCCATTCCAAAAGTTAAAAGTTAATGAGACAGAGAGCAAATATTTATAACTGAGACTTTGTATACGACAGACATAAACATACAGTGTCTTGTACTTTTCATGTATTCTTATTTTTAAATAAATGGTATTCACTTTAATCACTCGTGTGAATGAACGTGTTTAAAACCAAATGGCTACATTAAAGATAATGGAAAACTCTAGCTCACCTTCAAAAATTATTGTATTTATAATGATTTAAAAGGCTCATTACTGAGAGCCACATTCCAAAGTTGCAGTAAACCCATCGAGTTTTTATAAACACATTTTCTTTCTACTCTTACTGCTGTTCGCTCCACTGAAGTGAGGGGCTATGTGGACTCATTTCAAATGTCCTTAGATTATATGTCACTCTAAGGAAACCCTTTTTCCAGATAAGTTGTAAAGAACATGTATTTTTTAATGGCAAGTATTTTATCATTTCTGGCCATTTAGATTATAGGTGTGGGATCCTGTTTTATATGGCACCCTGCTACTGTGGAACTTTTCTTTCAGCTGCTTTAGTTAGAAAAGCTGTTGCCAAACAAAACAGTAGGAGGGAAGCTGTAAAAACGTTTTGAAATGCTAAAAAAAGAAATAAGTGAGCAAGCAGCAATCTAAACATAAACCGGAGGACTCTTCCCATGACCCATGTTTAAGGGAAAGAAACAGAAGAAGATGCAGAGAATTAACAGAATACCAATTTCGAGCCACATTCAGGATCTCTAGAAGGATTAGAAATTATTCAGAAAATTACATGTAAGCTGGTGCACTAAAATCGTTCTGTCACAAATCTCAGACATTATTCTGAGCTAGACAAGCCTGGTGTCATGACATTTTCTCAAAAAATGAGAGGTCATAGAACGTGGAAAAGAATACATTTATGTATAACTGAATCACTTTGCTGTCCACCTGAAAATAATACAACGTTGTAAATCAACAATACTTCAATAAAAAATAAATTATTTTTTTTAAAAAAATGAGAGGTTATAATATAAAAGTTCAAATTACCATTATGAGTTAGTTCTGTTGATTTAAGGCCTTTTTCGTTAGCAACAGAACAATGAAATTGGTAGTTACATAATGAGATAACCTCCAAGCACAACAATAGAAAAGGCTCACTCAGGCAAGCTCAGTGAAATCTAGAATCCAAACACCACTATAGAAAAACAAATTGTAAAACATGGGATGCTCTCAAGACTGTTCTTTGAAAAACCCTTGATGTGCTATGTAATATGTGACCAGTATAACTTTGGAAGTTCAATTTGATATTATCTTTGATCCAGGCACACTGCTCTTTTAGATATGTGATTTATTTAAAACACTCCTTTTTCTTTTTTTTTTTTTTTTGACTTGGAATGCATGTAACCAGATGAGTATTAAAAGTGAAATATATAACATATTCCTTAGTATTTGAAGGATGAGTACCTTTATTTTCTTTTTTTTCCGAGCCAATATTTAAACTAAACACATACTTCAATCTTTAAGAAAAAGGCTGTTTATCCCAGAGAAGGTAACTGACCTGCATGGAACCCGGAATAAGTCAGTCAGTTGTCTGTCGGTCAGGCATACGCTCAGATAACGCTGATGAGCCTGGTTGGGGCCAGGTGCCCTGGACTCTGGGCATCCACAGACAGGGACCCATTCATGGGCTTTATTGCCCTAAACCCTCCCAGGCTGCAGGCTTCATTGCTGGGATTCCCAAGGTTCAAGGAGGTTAAGTCACTTACTCCAGCTCCAGACAGAGTGTAGACAGAACACAGAACAGAGGTACCTCTGCCCTGCCACAGCTGTCCTCACGAGCTTGTGGGGAATTCCGTCAGTTATTCAATAATACTTTGAGCCTAGGCCGAGTTCATTACATCTCAATAGATTAAGTCAATGAATCATGTTATTTTATAGTCCCATCAAATGTATCTACTTCCTGTGAGGCCAGAAGGCATTTTCCTATTACTGCTCACAGAGGGACGGCCTTCCCTTTGTTTTGTCCCTTTTTTCTTTTAAGTAGCTGTTCAAGGAGAAGAGTGGCTCTCTGCAAGGGGCTCTAGTCTCGTCCTTTGAAATGTCCCAGGGTGTGTCCTAGATCAGACTGAATCCATCAAACAATTCCACTACTGTGGAATAAGAGAATTTCCTGAGCATCACTGTGGTAAAGAGGCGTATTTTGTAGGCAGCTTCACAAAACCATTGGGAAATAAAAGTATCTTGAAAAGGACTAGGAAAATATAAAATCTGAAATATAACTTTGGCTGGTCATCATTAATGTTACCTGTCCTCCTTCCTAAACTTTACTCTGAAATTACACCAGCGTATCCAGTTTCTCTCCAACAATAATCAAATATGTGAAAAGAGCATTAACTAAATCAAATAAAGAGGCAATGTCATGAAGACTTAAAGATGATAAAGGGTCTCACATGACAGCTAGTAAAATAATAATAGCTCACATTTTACAAAATGACAAGTCAAAGAAATATGTCTAGTCTCATCAAGCTGTTTGTGTCTTCCTAAGGAAAATATTTGTGGCCTTCGTAACACAAGACCAAATACATGATCAAAAAGTAAGAGTCACTTGTCCATGCCAGAGAATTGAGCCATGTTATTATGGTTTCAGGCTGATGGATTCATTATTCATGGCACGATATTTATTGAGCACCTACTTACTGCACCAAGCACTGGGGATACAAGTGATGAACAAGAGAGACACGGTCACTACCTCCATAACTCTCAGAGTCTGGGAAGCAGATCATCAGACAATATTTAAAAAAATATATAGGATTATATACAGTGGCAACTGGGATGAAGAAAAGTGATAATTTGTTTTGAGGAGGAATCAAAGTAGCCCTGTTATTTGAATACTGACTCTGTGAAAAGTGATGTATTACTAATACTATTAATCCTTTTGTGGTTTCTGTTGTTTCCAACACCTTGTAATTAAAAGGGCTTTAATGTTTTAAGCCTTCTTACACCATCTTGCTATAACTGCAGGGCAGTGTAGAAACTGAGATGTACATAAATGAATATAGATAAAGTGCTGTATAGCTACAGAGTCAGGATGTAAGTAGGAACAAGAGGCAGTTTGGCTTGCCAGGAGCTTCTGCAAAAGGAAGTAGGGCCAGGTAAAGAGACCTTGAACCCCAGGCCAGGTTTCCAGACTTTTTTAACAGGGAGAAGGAAGGTTCTAGAGAACTGAGGTTGTGAGTTTGGGGAGGCTAGTATTTCTGGGAGATTATCTTAGAAGCAATAGGCAAAATACATAAGGAAGGGAGAAACAGTGCTTAGGAATATCATTGAAGGGACTATCTCAATAATTAGTCCATAAGTGTATGGATTACTAATACATCCATGGGATTGAAAAGAAGAGACTCAGGAATAGGCTCTCCTGAGGAAGAAGAATTTTTGTAACTGACCAGTAACTGGTCAGTAACTGACCAGATATAAAAGACTTTTGAGAATTCAAATTCAAGATTCCCTAAGGAACAGTTAGGCTATGAGCATAAAGTAGGATCAACAATGATGAGTCTGACTTTGAACCTGCTGAGTTTCAGGTGCTAATGGCACGTCCGGCTGAAACTTATCAGAGAGGACAGGACTGGAAATATAGAATTGTCATCCACTCAGAAGCAACTTTTGATTTTGGAAGGGTTGGCAAAGAGGAAAGCACAGGCAGAGAAAATTACTAAAGAATCTCAAGGGAACCTTAAACTTGGTGGTGGGGAAATGATTGTCAGGGGTGACAAAAAGAGCAATGGAGGGGGATAAGTGAAGGAGGATTATAGAGGAAACCAAGGAAATCAGATGAAGAAGTAATCAGTGAAGTTAAGTGCTGGGCAGAGACTGAAAGATCCAAGGAATGAGAACAGGGTCCAAGGAATCCAGGGATCCAGGGAATGAGAATTGGATTGGGAAAGGAGTGGGGGGGTGTCACTCTTTGCTAATTATTAATCACGTTTCAAAGATCAGGGCCAAGTCTCAGAAGTGATGATTGCTGCCATATGCCAGACAACTCTGGATAAGGCTCTATCCTCTTCAAGAGAAGATTCTGGATGACTACCTTTGCCTTGTCTTTGATGAATACATATATTTTCATCAATATATATGAATATATATAACCCTCTAGCAAATATAAGCATTAAAAAAAAGAGAGCATGTCTACATTTCTAACTGCTTAAAATAGGATTATAATGGGGAAGGTATCAGGCAACACTCAGCATTACTTCCTTGTAACAGACAAAAAAGATAAATCACCTGGAGATACTCAGATCACTCATAAAGTCAGTAAAATGGTAAATGGAGGACAGGACCCTAAACTGCTATTAAGAGTCTTAGCCTCTACTCATTATATCAGACCATACACTCTTGCAGGTTTAGGATGGAGTTCCAAATAACTTTTTTGTTTTTGTTTTTTGTTTTTTGTTTTTGCAGTACGCGGGCCTCTCACTGTTGTGGCTTCTCCCATTGTGGAGCACAGGCTCCAAACGCGCAGGCTCAGCAGCCATGGCTCATGGGCCCAGCCGCTCCGCTGCATGTGGGATCTTCCCGGACTGGGGCACGAACCCGTGTCCCCTGCATTGGCAGGCGGACTCTCAACCACTGAGCCACCAGGGAAGCCCCAAAATAACTTTTTAACAACTAAGTCCAAATAACTTTTTAGGACTTAATTTATATATTTCATTAAAGAGGTTTTTCTTTAATTGTATCTTAATGCATGGGCTAATAATTACTAATTTGCTATGCTCTTACAAAATATATCAGGCTAATATCACAATGTATATCACACTGTTCACTAAATCTTGTCAATGTTGAATTAAGAATCTAGTTAAGGAATTATGGATTTGCATACCTGTGGTATCCATCGGGAAGACACAAAGCTTGTCACTTCTATTACAGGCAAGCCAGTTTGGGAAAGTTGATTGATAAATTCAATTTTTATATCTGTAGGAACTATAATCTAAGAAAACATTAAGAATTATAAGTATTTTGCATAAATTATTTATTGAAGCATAAACAGAAAATTAATTCCTAACTGAAAGCAAATACTATTTAAGATTTATAAATTCAAGTAGCAACTAAGAACAAATGTAATCATCTAACATATGAAATCCATATGTCTTTAGACTCAATAAATATTTAGATTTAGCATTTTTTTAAAACTGTGTAAAATTAATATCAAGTTACCTTTTCATTCTGCAATCCATCTCTAGGTCCAACTTCTACTATTTTCACATATTCAGGGAGTCCAGATGGCTGGGATGATTCCTAAAATGAAAAATACAAGGCGAGAAAAAGAGATAACAGATCATCAAACTTGTTTACTTGAAAAGTCAAACAATTTCACTTTGTTGGATTAAGTTCTCAGCCTGGAAAGTTAAGAAAGGTAAGAAATTGATATAATGATATAATCCAAATACCAAGTTTATGTTATTAGCAACATGAGGTCATTTTTTTTTTACAACTCAGTGATATTCAGTCTAATTATGATTAAAATCCAAAAGATGAATTTCAAAGATAAAACTGCGGAGAAGGTGACTTACTCAGGATCTAAAGAGACAATCTGCTGAGTAATTCTATGCGTGATGATAAACGTACCATTGTTAGAGTTCATTAAGAAATTAGATCTTTGTATCAACATACTTCTACCAGCCACAATCATCCAGCTGCCATACCCTGAACTTGCCAAGTGTGAATTCAGTTTTCTGGCCTGTGTCAGAGAATAAGATGTGTTGTTTATTTCTTGTCTGTGTCACACAGCACAACCAGCACCTAAACGCAGCTTCCTAAAGGACAAACTCCCCCCAGGAGGACCTAATCCTTGATATTCCCCTCTGTTCCTAAACTATTATGGTCACATCATGTTTAGAAGGACACTAGTTTGAAACAGGAAAAATGGAAATTGACTTTCTCAACTTCATATTGCAGTTAAAATCGGCAGTAGGCTACATCTTTCCAGACTGGACAAACATAACCTCCTGGTATCTCTGAGCCCAGTTAAGTGTGGGTAACCAATCATCAAGGTCTTCTAATGGATAGCTGATGGAACTGACCCAGATCAGCATGACCTGTACTTCAAAGTTATTTTTTTGTCTTGCCTTTCATAAAGGATGATGACTCTGGGCTGACCAGTTTGCATTGTCTCACTCTGTCCTTGTAATAATCACAGGCATACACCGATAAAGTGGCTATTTTGTATGCACAACCCAGTTTGTTTCCATCACACAGCACAATGCTCCCTGCCCTTTCTAGGGTCCATAGCTGTTACCTGGTTTTATTAGCATTCTGTGTTAATTAACTCAGCAAAGGAACCCAGATGATCCCTGTTACAATGTTTACATACCACCCTCCACAATTTCCATGAAATCAGGCAATTCAATAAGGAAAAATTAACTGAGAAGGAAAAGAATTCTCATCTCTGCATCTCCTGAGCAGGCTGTGATGCATGCAGTTGGGAGGGTGGAGGTTTGAGCGGGGACACATGGGGTCCCTCAGCTTTAGGCTCAGTTTTGGATGACAATCATGAAATCATACATTATTTACAGGGTGGCCATCGTTTCAACCAGGCAATAAGATAGAGGGATGGCATGGGAAGACAGAGTAAAAAAGAGAAGCTCACTCCTCTTTCTTATTACCTCCAGTCCTAAAATTGCAGGGATGAAAAAACAAAAACAAAACTAGGCAATCTTAAGCCATGTGGTCTCATTATCGCTGATTGTTTCCTGAAACTCATTTTCAATTAGCAATTAGCTAATTAGCTTGGAGCAATTAGCTTGGAGTATACATGGATGAAGAATACTACTTTATTAAACAGCAGTGTTTAACCCCAAAAAAGGAACATAGTGTTTTTTAAGGTAATAACAATATGCTGAGTACAATTAAAGAGCTTGGGACCTTCCTTCGCATCACTGGTATAGCTGGCAGAAGTAACAATCTGAAGAAATTAAAGTGTAATCTCCCACTAATTATAGCCATTTAAGTCAAAGCAGAATATATGCATACTTGATATTATTTTACATTTCTTCTTGAATCTAACACTCCCATTTTGTCTTCTAGTCATGGATCTGTATTCCCTCTATCTGAATACCCAAGAAATCAGAAAAAAGTTATAATGTGTTCAGTAAGTTCAAAGAGTAACAAGTTTCCCTTTAAACAGCATATAAATAAATATATAAATAAAGTCAATACATAATTGTTGAGTATGTGTGATGTGAGAGCCCTATCTTGGTATTTTCAGTGTCATTCTGGGCATTACTATCTCTGTATTGATGTTTCTAAGCAACTTCAGCTTTACATAAATAATGCAATGCCTACTGAGCAAATCCACCTAAATGTTGTAGAAGCACATAATTTTCAATGATGCAAAACTGATCTCATGATTTCTCTGCCTCATTCCTCTCCTCAGATATTCTCCCACCACCTACTATCCGATTCCATCTCTCTTACCACTTATATCTAATTGGTACCTAATTGGTATTTTTATTACTGGTTCTATTTTGGCATATACCCAACACCCAACACTTAGCTTGCACTTAATAATTGTTTGTTGATTGTATTAGTGAATCTCTTTTGTCACTGGCTGTATTTAAATTGTCTTCCTTTTCTACTTAGTCTATTGCTGTAGCTTCCTAAGTATTCTCCCTAATTTTGTTTTTCCATGATTAAAATGCTTCAGAATGTACCAGTCACCTTTGGAGAGATCTATCAACCTAAGGTAAAAGATGATTCCTGACTAGCCTCTCACCTTCTACCACACTCTACTTCATGCATCCTGTGATTTTAGTCATGCTAAAGTCATGTCCTGCTCACTTTCATGACTGTAGACATGAAGTTGCTATTGGTTGGAAATAGCTTCTATCTGTGGGGAAAATTTTCCACCAAAACCATTTCTCTTCTTCACAGACACAGGACTGGACCTCATTTCTCCTCTAAGAGTTACGTTTGAACAAGTTCCAGTTGATGGAACATCAATGTGAATGCTATGTACCGCTTTTAGGCTTGGCCCATGAAAATATCCCATGCACATGCCTCAATGCTCTTTCCCCTCTAGCCAGCTTGATGCAGATGAGTATGGCAGACTTGGAAGCTGATAAAGATAAAAAAAAAAAAATTGAAGGAACCTACACCAGAATCACTGCTTTAATAAGAATTCCATGCCTATAAGAAACAATTATTTTGTCCCTCATAGAGATGAAAATAGATGTCAACTCTCTTATACCATTGAGAGTATAGGTATATCTTTTATAGCTCCTAATTGTGAAAAATTATGAAGGGTCTGAAATTTTACCCTACTTCCAAGCTAACAAGTGAACCTGCCATGGATGCTGGTGGAAGGCACAAGACTCATTTGTCAGAGAAGGAAAAAAAGGCTTATCACTCACAGCAACAGCAGTAGCTAGAAAATCAGGATTTGTGCTGGTTCCCCAAGCCCCAACTCCCAGGAAAAAAAGGGGACCATACAATGTTTGCCCAGACAATGGGTTACATTACAGGAAAGGAACCCCAAGCACAGGAACCTTGAACCTTTGCTAATGGGCAGTACGCATATCGTTCCTTGGTGACATATACACGGTGTTTATCATGCTTGACCATGAGTATGCCTGCCTTTGATCTGAGAGAAAGACACTTCCCCTTGGCTCCAGAAGGAGACACTAGTTCTATCATTCAAAACTATTTTGCATTAAAAAAATCCTTGAAAAGAGAGTCTGGAACAAAGGTAATTATGCCTCTGCTTGCAAGAAATACAATAAACTTATGCAGAATTATTTCCCAATAATATCCACTCTTCATTTTTACACCATCCTGGTTTATGGCAAATTTTCCCACTAGTAAATCACTCTGTTGGCCCCTCTGATTAACTAACAGAGGCTGGAACCAAATCTGCTCATTTTTATCTCAGAAAACATTTAATTAAGGCTACTCTCAACAGACCTTCAAGGAGCAGGAGAAGGCCAACCTGCAATATTGACTTCTGCCATGCCACTCCTCCCCAGGGTCCTGGATCCAACCAGCAGAACGAATCCTATACTGTAGTGGCCTCTGCATCAGAAGCTCAGCTTTGTTTACTTTGTGCCTATTTTATGATGGTGGATGTGTTACCATGTTCAATGCTATGATTTATCCAGGCAGCAACAGTGACAATATAGGTGATGGAGGCTTGATCTGCAGTGTGATTCCAGTGTGTCTCATCAGAGTATGGGCTTCAGATGATCCACCAGCAGCCATAATTTATTGCCATAATTCATAGCCTCCCCCAAGAGGTGTCTTTAACATCTTAGTGTACAGTTTCCCAAATGGCAGACAAATAAGCTAGGCCAAAGACCCCAACCCAAGAGTCAATAAAAACATGGCAATGGCCTCAATTTCTGTTGGGCAAGTAGAGTAATCACATCCCCTTTCAGTTCTGCATGGCGGCTGGAGAGGTTTTACAACTGCAGGAGCCCAGTGGTCATCATCAGATTTCAGTTCGGCCAAAACGTCATCCAACCAGACTAAGAAAAGCACCGTGAAGAGAAGGGCCCCCACTGAGCCGGTAGCTTTGTTCCAGGCAGTGGAACAGGCAACAGAGGGCAAGGGTTACTTTTTGTGGGTAAAGCTGAGATTGCACTGGGGACAGGCCAACCACCTTCTCGAATATACAATTTCCATTTGATTAGTGTGGCCTGTTGAAAATGTCCAACCTCGTTAGTCATTGACTCCAAGTTGACCCCCCAAAATGGAAATAGGGGCCAGAGAGTCACAACGGCCTCCCTAACTCAGGTGTCCAGTTTCAAAAAGAGCTCCAAGTCAAGCCAACAGCTGATTTTTAAAAGAGACTTGGATGGCTGTGTCATGGCAGTAAGGGATCCACAACCCCCCAAAGTGCCACCAGGTAGAGGCTGCCTGACTTTGACAGAAGCTCAAATTTGCAAAATCACCAGTCACAGAGACTTAGAGATCAAAGAGGTCAGGAGGATTTGGGGACCCCCAAAGTTATGTTCACTTCACTACATACAGCTCTTCCCATTGAGATGATACCCTCTGGCACTTATGGGACAGAGAATTACAATCACAACACACATCAGTTTTTACTATACGTTCAGACATGCAAGCAACAACAGGCGAGTGTACTGGCCATGAAGGCCCCACCCACAAGGCTGCATCAGGTCCCCTTTCCCACTGAGAACACTGCCCAACCCCATCAATTGAATCAGGACTCCCACCCCCATGGGACTGATAGAATGGTGACTTGGATGGCTTTATCAGACAGAACCAGGAAGGTTAGAGTC